AAAGAAAACAAAGGCATTACAGTCACTGGGATATCTGTCTTTCGTGACATTTCATTTATGCAGGTTTCAATTGCATCAGATTAAATGCTTTGCAAGGTTTCTAAATCTTTGGCAACATACTCTCGTTGGAAAATAATTTTCACCTTTTGTTTCAAGGGAGCTCAGAATAAAATATGGTACTTCAAATCCCATCCTTCTACTTTATATAAGGCTGGGGTTACAGGTGGCATGAAGCTGTGGAATCAGATGAAAACAGTTCTGTTGTGGTAAGAACAGAGAACAGAGCAGGGGGTGTAGGCTAGCTATCCTGGTGTCCAAGTCCCTGGGCTCTGTGTTTTTCCTATGTATGTATGAAGCCAGTGCTTCTGAAGCCTAGTTAGAAAAGAATGGTGCTGACGCTGACCTGGGTATGGGTGGAGGCCCTGCCTTATTCTTGGGTTTCAAGTCTTCAGAGCAATAATGTCTTTGTCACCACATTTCTGGCACTTAAATAAAGACACCATGAGGAAGCATGGTTCATGGAGAATTAAAATATATATATTTTTAATTCCAGCCCTATTGATCTATTTCCTTTTGTTATGCAGAGGGTCACTATGAGTCAACTATACCTAACAACAGATCTATCTAATAAATTCCCTCCAACTAACCAGATTTCAAGATAATGGTATCCTTGACTCAGTACAATTGTCAGTGAAGCAAATTTGATGGCACTTCTTATTTAAGAGCCAGAAACTCCTGGGCTAGATACAGATTTCTAAAAGGCCTCTTGTGGTTGAGGAATAAGAGCCAGGTCTTCCAGAAGAGTTGAAAAAGTGAAGCGATTCAACTTCAAATTCTTCAGTATGAATGCTGCATCTCTTTGTAAACTGGTTTCTTTTGGTGTCCCCTTTTCTAAATAAGCTCATAATGTTAACTTACAGCTCACATAGCATGGCGGTGAACGATATGGTGAGAAAGGCCCAAAGTGGGACAAATGCTTTGTGAGTGCAATGATTTGCTTCGTGGTAGATTTCTGGAGGAAAATACAGCCTCTCTGATAATATCAGGGAGTAAGGGTGTTTGATGAACACCACTGTTTGACCCTTATACCACACAGAGATTTGGGAAGGTGGCTTAATATTGCCACACTGCAGACACACTCCACTCTCATTTGTTTGAAGCCTTCCTACTTTTGTCTTAGCTGTGCCTCTTTCCAGTAAGTTAAGGGTTGGGGGGCAGGTCTTAAAAACTTAAAGGTCTTGTAGCTGTCAGTATTCACTGATATCAAGACTTCCAGTGGTGCGGGAGATTTCACAGCTGTACCTGTGGTTTGCAAGTCAATGTGGGAGGCTGTGTGAAAGATTGATTTCTGTACTGGGATATGACCTTGTCTTGTGCTCCTGAATGGGCTAAGACCCTCACAATGATATGTATTCATTGAGTCTTAAGTAGATACTTATGGGCCAAAAAAATCAAGGTTATGTTCCAGAAATCTTCACCTGCAGTTCAACAAAGTCATGTGTATGGCCCTGAGTCTCCATTTATGATGCACAGTTCACCCTCAGTTGTTAGTATCTGCAGGATATGTTTTGAAGTGAGTTCAGTCCAGGAGTCCCCTAGCCTAAAGTCCCCTACTAGACTGCTACCACTTAGGGCCCACGCAGAGAATGTGGATTGTTCATTCGAAGTTTAATATTAGCCCAAGTCAACTAGCGTTACATAAACACACCTGCAAACTTCACTTGCATGCATTCCACAGTTAAATGGAATACTTTAAACCGTCTTCCAGTTTTGTTTCATTCTCCATTAAGATAAGCCATTAAGAGAGTTAGCTAGAATCTCAAACTGTAGTTGCTGTTTTCCCTAAACAAAGCTGATTCTAGGTTTTTTACTAACTTGAGAATTTCTGTATATGATCAGCCTTGCAAAGCTATACATGCTAAAGGGCACTTATAGCAATCATCTGACACGAGTCAACTTCACTCACAACTATGCTGCCTCTCCACCAAACTATGTTTTTATATATAGTTCAATAGCTAGTAGGCATGTTGGTGGCACAGTAGGATAAGCACTGGAATGCTAAGCGCTAGGTCAGCAGTTGGAATTCACCAGCCATTCGGAGAGAGAACGATGAGGCTTTCTGCTCTTGTAAAGATACCCCGTCTCCGGAATTGACTCAGTAGCCAGGGGTTTTAGATAGCAGGAAGGAGCCCCAGAGGTATAGCAGGTCAAGTGTTAAACTGCTAACTGCTAGGTTGGTGGTTCAAACTCACCACTTTCTCCTTGGGAGAAACCCTGCGTATAAGGTTGTTATGTGTCCAAATTGACGAGCGGTGATGGGTTTGTTTTCAGGTTAGGTAATTAGTGTATGCTATCATGACAATCTTGAGAAATCCAGAAGTTGGGACTAAACTTAAAGCCAGTGGCTTATGTATAGAGAGGAGTACTAGGCCTTATACTTGTTGTTGTTGTTGTTAAGTGCCGTCGAGTCAATCCCGACCCATAGCGACACTGTATAGGGTTTCCAAGGAGCAGCTAGTGAGCTTGAACCACTGACCTTTCAGTTCAAATGACTTTGCAGTCTGACGCATTAGCCCACAGCGCCACACCAGGACTCCTTATACTAGATTTCTTCAATTTACTTCAACGAATTCACCTTTATTGAGTGCCTGACAGTATACAGGAGCTCTGGTAGCGTAGCGGTTACGAGTCGGGCAGCAGTTTGAAACTATCAGCGGTTCCGCGGAAGAAAGATGAGGCATTCTGCTCCCGTAAAGATTTATAGCCTCGGAAACCCTGTGCAGGGTCGCTATGAGTTAGAATAGACTCCACAGTACTTAACAACGACAACAGTATACAAGGAGTCCTGGCGGGATAATGCATTGGACCACGAGGTCGATTTGATTCACGTGGCCAGAAGTTCAAATTCAGCACTGCTCCTTGGAAATCCTATAACAGGGTCATTGTGAGTCAAAATGGACTCAATGGCACCTAACAATAACAACCGTATACAAAGCCCTGTTAAAATTCCTTGGATATGCAGAATGACAAAGTCACACCACTGTGGTCACATTTGACTCTGTGGGAGGCTTGGTGGCTGGCAACTGAAAGGTCAACGGCTTGAACCCATAAACCACTGCGAAGAAGAGAGATGTGCCAATCAGCTTCTGTAAAGATTATAGCCTGGGAAACTAAACATGGAATCAAGGCTTTGAACCAGTTCAAAATGGTTCCATAATTGCTGTGGCAAACAAGTGCCCCATTCGCGATGCATAGCATCTCCAGAGGCCTGCCAATAAGCCTATCTTTAGCATGAGGCTCTGAACCTTTTAGGAGGAAGGGCTGTGGCAGGACTTTTGGAGAGTAACCTTATTGGCAGGATTCTGGAGCCAGCAGCACACCTTCAAAGCATCTTTGAGTGGGACACAGCTGTTTGTTTCTCCTGGCCTCAAAATACCACAGGCAACAGATTTAGTTGCTATGCAACGCATACACAGCCCTTGTTTACAATGGCAATTACTGAGCCATTTTGAACTGGTTCGAAACCCTGAGTAGAATATGTTGTTGTTTTTTTAAGTGCCATCAAGTTGGTTTTAACTCACAGCATTTCTGCATAGCGTTTCTGAGGAGCAGATGATAGGTTTGAACCACTGATCTTGTGGTTAGCAGTCCAGTGCTTATTCTTCAGTGCCACACCAGGACTCCTCATAGAATACAAGCAAGTGGAAACCAAGCATCGGCTTCTAGGGAGGCATGAGCTCGATGTCAGACAAATTAATCCAGTCACACATGTGGGTTCATATCCTGAGTCCACTGCCCCTAGATAAGTCACAGCACTTCCTGGAGTCTCAACTGAGCATGAGAGTATCTCATGGACGAGATATATGTACGGATGAGATATATGTATTTTAATTTTCATGTTTCTTTGTGTAGATATTCATTTAGGCTTTTGTCTGAAAATGAAAAAAAAAAATCTTCAAAGAATTCAACAAAAGAAATTAAGTAAGCCAGAAAGTTTTTATCATTGCTACATGATGTGGCACTGTCGGGTAAGCACTGTACTGCTAACCGCAAAGTCGACAGTTCAGACCCACCAGTCACTCCTTGAAAACCACTTACCAGATTCACTGTGAGTGAGATCTGACTTAACAGCACGTAACAACAACATGAGTATGAAAAAAGCAAATTTCAGAGGGAGGCATCCAGTAAATCTTTTTGAGTGAATAAATGAATGAATGCAGTGAAAGAGGAAGAGAGGAAAAGAGAAGGGGAAGAAGGGAGAGAGGAAGACAGGTAGACCTTAAGTAATACCTGTATTCTTTAATGCTCTCTTTGGACTTCTGGTGTGACGCTGTAGGATCAGCCCTGGACTGCGAACTACAAGGTCGGTGGTTCAAACCCACCATCAGCTCCTTGGAAACCCTGTATGGGTCGCTGTGGGTCAGCACTTAACAACAGCAACAACAAATCCTGTTTTTTTTCAGTGACTGGTGATTTCTGTTGGCTGGTTGCCATGCTTTCTTTCCTTGGCCATATTATTAAAACAGTCAGATGAACAACTACGTGAACATTTTTTAGAATACCTCAGATTGAGACTTAAACAAAATACTCAGACGAATAGGGAGTTTTGTGTGCATAGGAGATTGCTCTTTTATTAACAGACTCTTCCACACACACCTCCATCACCTGCACCAATCCATCTAAAACTTTGCAATTCCCTTTTGTGAACTTGTGTACTTTGCTATTCGAAAAAAAAGTGTCTTTCATCTTAGGAAAACTCAATCAGCTGCGCTCTAGGTGGGGTCTCTCTCCCTCTTCAGCCTACAGCTTTCTTCCCACTGGAAGCTCTGTGATTCTTTGATTTCAAAGCTGATTATCTTTTTTAACTTCAGTAATGGCTTCGTTCTGCTCTTTAAAAAGAAATTGGGGGAGAAATTGCAGTGCATTTCAGAATTTGTTTCTATTATCAGACCTGTGAAAGTATCATATAATTATATTGCCTTTCTTTCTTTTTTTTTCAGATTGGCAAGTTATGTGCCCATTCTCAACCACGCCAATATAGGTCTGCTTATTATCCTGAAGATCTGTTTATTGACAAGAAAGTATTAAAAGTTGCTCATGTAGAACATGAAGAAACCTTATTCAGCCGAAGAAGGTGAGAGGGATTTCTTTTTTTCCCCTCAATTACAGTATACAATTAGCAATTGTGAGTTAAGGTCAAAAATCATTGGAGTAAAGGCTTCTTAAATAACTGTTATTTAGTTCTTCTAAACAGAATGCTTGATTAATTAAATTCTGTCATCTGTCAATGTTAAGAGGACAATATATTGCGTTAGATCATATTCAAATCACTTGCACCATATGTAAATATCTATTAGAACGACACAGGGTAGAGTGGGCATAAGATCTTTTATTGACAAAAAGTGACATTTTCTGGTTAACGTCTGGTCTCCCAGTTCCATGACTTGGTTTGTGGCTTTTCACAGTATTGGCAGTGAGGCAAAGGTGAGTTCACCAGAAAGATCCACTCATGTGTACACACACACCACATACGTGTTGTTATTAGGGGCTGTGGAGTCAGGCCCAACTTACAGTGTCGTTATGCACAAGAGAACAAAACCCTAGCTGGTCCTGCACCATCCTCACAATCATTCCTCTGCTTGAACCCACTACTGAAGCCACTGTGTCAAATTTCATCACATGCACGGTCTTCATCTTTTTCATTGACCTTCTCCTTTACCAAACATGATACATTACTTTGTCTTTTAACTTTTTATTGTGAACTGAGTGGAGGTTTACAGACAAGACCATCAGTTTTATATTCAACATGCAACAACAGTTCTGCCACTTCCTCCCAGTGGTTCCTATTTGTACTCCACACTCCTTCCCATCTCTTCTCACCATTGTCCTTACGTGCATGTTGTCCCTTTGATGGTCAATGATTGACGGTTCTATCATTCATAGCAGTGCTGTTGTTCCCCCTTGGCTGAAAGTTGGGCCAACAAGGGAGAGCTCTGTTCCAAACCTGAAGGGTGGTCAAGGGCCATGGTCTCAGGTTCATCCAGTCTCTTTCTGACCTGTAAGCTGGGTCTGTTTTTTAATAGTTTTGAGTTTTATTCTACATATTCTGCTGCTCTATCCAGAGCCTTTTAATAGGATCGCTTTCAGAGCGCTTGGTAGTGGTTGCTGAGCACCATCTAGTTCTTCTGGTCTCAGAGTCTTGGAGACGGATGCTCACATGTTCCATTAGTCCATTGGACTCATTCCAAGTATCTTCAATTTTCATCATTCTTCTTTCTTCTGCATATGGAATGTCTAATTGCTGCACCTAGCCAGCATCTAGCTGGGTATTCATGAACTTTTAAGATCCCAGATGCTACTCACCAAAGTAGGATGTAGAATATTGTCTTTTGGACTATATCATATGCCAATAGACCATGGTGTCCCCTAAGACTTTGGTCCTGAGTCCCCACGGTCAGATACTTATTGCCTTAAAATGTTTGGTAGCATCTGATAAGAAGTTTTCATCATTTTGCCCACTGTATCCTTTACCACATTCATAGTTATGTTTGCAGGATTGCAGGAATGGGAAATACTCATTTATCAATATCCTCTTTCAAGCTCTCATACATCTGCGATATATATATGTGTGTGTGTATATATATGTGTGTGTGTATATATATATATGTGTGTGTGTGTATATATATATATATATATATATATATATATATATATATATATATAGTAGTAT